TTTTCAATATAAACACATGCATTAAATAAAGAAAGCTGCGTTTTAAAATTAAGTTGAAGTAGCCTACTTTTTGTGGTGGGTGGCAAGCTCTAATAAACATGAGAAATAATGCTAAAAATGTTGAAGTTGATCTTTCTTTACTGTTATGTGATCCTGGACCACAAAACCAGTCTTAAGGGTCAATTTTTTGAAATTGAGATTTATACATCATCTGAAAGCTGAATAAATAAGCTTTCCATTGATGTATGAATTAGTTTGATGCTGGGATAATTCATGCTGGGAGTCTTGAATGAGTTTTGTACTATGTTGATACCCAGCATGCATTTCAGCATAAAATCTTCTTTTGTCGATTGTCACCATTGTTGAGTTTCACACGCTGATTATTGATGGCTAATTGATTCAGCAATTTAATGATTTCCTTTGTAGTATTTTCTGTTAGATCGTAGACGTGTGATAGTTGTACCACTGCTTTAGTATCACAATAAAAACACAACACACTTGTGAATAACTATTTGAACAACCTCAAAAATAATTATCTGATCTTAACGTAGCTTAGTTTTCATTGCGTCAACAAATGTATTTAAGTGCATTGCTAAAAGTGACAACTAAAATCTAACATGAAAATGCAATGATTCAAGAGCCCAGCTAAAGCAAACGCTGGTCACAAAAATTGATTTGTTGAAATTTCAACATTTTTTCAACATTAATTGCGGGTGCAAAAACGGTGTTGATTCAGTGCAATTAACATTGACAAATCAACAATTTTTAACATTGATTCAATGGTTGCTTGATATCAGGGAAGTCATCAATAACTCTACGATTTATTTGATGCAAACAATTATGTAATATTCAAAATATGCTGCTTGTATGGCATGTCTAAGTGTCCTAAAATTGAGACACAGACATTTCTTGTATTTTTACGTTTCTGAACAGCCCTGTCTTCATTATCAGGGGTGGGCAATTCCACCTCTTGAGGTCCACTGTCCTGCACGGTTTAGCTCCATCCCTAAACAATCATATAATGTAATTTATGTAACAACATTTTTATGTAATCCCGAAGACTTTTGTTAAACACTGCAGAATGGTAGCCCTCCAGGAGCAGAGTTGGACAACCCTGTTCTACCATAAAATGAGCTGTGTGAAGCCCTGCAAGAAAAAAAATCTAGTTAAAAATGCAAAGATGTAAACTAAATTAATAATAATATTTAAATATAAATTAAATAAATTAATAATATTTAATATTTAAATAAGCTAAATGTAATAATATCAGTTTTACATGCAAATATTAACATTTGCACAATTTTTAAACTCAAAATAAATAGAAAAGGGGCTGGGTACAGGGGGCCCAGAGGCCAGGAAGTCCTATAAGGATCAACCCTAATTTCTACTGAGGGGGATCCCCTCTCCTTGATGCGATTCACAATCCCCCCTCCCACTCACACACTCAACACCCCACCACGCACCCCTGTGGTGTACGTTGCCTGTTTAAAGGTGATGATAGTTCCATTTCTCAATCTTAAAGACATCAAGTAAAAATAAAATAAGATCACAAT